TCTGAGCACTCCATTCGAATGGTTGTTTTGGTGCCATAATTGTTTTTGTCCTGCATAATGGCCATGTTGTTTTTGTTTGTTTTATCTGTGTCCTGGCAGAATACGGGAAGGACCTAGAGGAAGACGTGCGCGGAGGCACGTCGGGAATGTTCCAGAGGGTTTTAATCTCTTTGGTCACAGTAAGATATTCACGAGATACTAAACAGTCCATTCAGCCATCCATTTTCAAGAGTGCTCGTTGTCAGTAAGATTGTGGGCGAGCTGAAGCCTTTTCCAGCCAATTGGATGAGCAGTGTCCAATCAACGAACCAAATATTTGAAAAATTGCTCAGCGTGCTCCGCTCACACCAAACCAACCAAATTCAGTGAGACAAATGTTTTACAAGACGTATTACAAGAACACTTGTTGTGACTCACGCAGCCCGGACGTAACGAAAGCGACTCAGTGGACGAGGCCCAGGTTGTGCAGGATGCCAAGGCAAGGATTTGTTGAGATCTGCTGACAAAACAGGATTAAAAGTGTGGTCGTCAATGGATCAACGTTGCGCTTGCAGGATCTCTACGATGCAGGGGAAGCTCGATGGGGCACGGATGAGGTGAAATTCCTGACTGTGCTTTGCGTCAGGAACCAGAACCATTTGTTACGAGGTATTCACAAAGAAATGCAAAACCCTCTCATGGCTGCCATTTTTGGCCACCGTCTTTCTTCTGGTTGAGTCATGAACACTGACCTGACCTGAGTCCAGCGAGGCCTGGAGTTCTTTGGATGTTGATCGACGTTCGTGTGACCTCCTGGATAAGTCGTCACACTCTTGGGAGTAATTTTAGCTGGTCGGCCAATCCCGGGAATGTTTGCCACTGTTGCCAGTTTCCTCCATTTGTCGATGGCTGTGACAGTCGTTTGCTGAAGCTCCGGAGTCTTTGAAATGGTTTTGTAACCTTTTCCAGACTGATGGAGTTTTTCTTGAATTTCTTTGGCTCATGGCATGATGCGTTTGTTTCTTGAGATCTTGTGGACTATTTCACTTTGTCGGACAGATTCTATTGATGTAATTTCTTGATCCAACAAATATGGTGGTCGTCTGGTTTAGGTGTGGCCTGTGAAATTGAACTCAATTTATGTATATATTTTTTTTGTTCAGTGTTCGAAGAGTACAAAAAAATATCCGGGAGAGACATTGAGGAAAGCATCAAGAGGGAAATGTCAGGTTCCCTGGCGGATGTCTTCCTGGCCATAGGTGAGTCGGTTCCACCGCTAACAATGCTATAGGTGTTGATGGCAGGCCGAAATGTTGACTTTGTGTTGTCTTCTCCAGTGAAATGCGTGAAGAACAAGCATGCCTTCTTTGCGGAACGTCTGTACGAATCAATGAAGGTGAATACCCCAATGTTTAGGTGCGGAACATTAAAAATTCAAGCTGACGTGTTTGCTGACATTGAGTGCGTGCGGGCAGGGTCTGGGCCTCACAGACACCGTGCTCAATCGGATCATGGTTTCACGGGCCGAGATCGACATGTTGGACATCAAGGCGCAATTCCTCAACATGTATGGCGAGTCTCTACCCTCGTTCATTCAGGTAATTGTCAATCGATCAGTCAACCTATCAATCGCTCACTCAGCAAAGCACTAATGCTGAAATGAACTCTTTCTATCCATTCATCCATCCGAGCACAAAAGTCATTGGCAACCATAGTATTTGTTCATGTTTATTTTTTGATTCGTGATTTATAGTGTTTAAAATCGTATGTTATGTTTTATAGTGTTTACAATACAGTCCATCTTTTTTGTTCAAAACACCGGGGGAAAAAAAAAATTTACGGGCCGTTTCCGGAGACATGAACGGATCAACGGAATGTCAATACATTTCAATCGAAATACTCATTTGAAATATGAACAGAGTAACAAGTTTCGTCACAGAACCGATGACTGTCAATGTCTTAGCCAAGATGGTGAGTTTGGCTTTTGTTACCATGACGACCGGCGTTATTGGTCATTGCTACAAGGTTAGCGGCTTCTGCCAAGGCCGCCTCTCTGCTGACACAAGCGAACCTCAGAGCGTCGAAAAAAATAAGTCAGTAACTTCTTCACATTCCAGCTTCTAGATGTGTCAATTAGGATGCAGATCTGCGCAATCGGGGCATGTCGCGGACCGAGCCAAGCTGCCAGGTCATGGGTGGAGATACTTTATAAAAAAATTTCAGAGACCTAACTATTTGTTTGCAAGCATGAAAAGTTTCTATATGTGTCCCCTTTTAAATTGGCGGATTATGGAAATCGTGTTACCTTCATGTCTTCAGTAGACGGACTGCAGTTCCCCTCCTCTTCATTGGTTTCCTTCCTATCCTTAGGGAGATACATCAGGTGACTACCGCAAAATCCTTCTGGAACTGTGTGGAGGAGACTAAAAAAACACCACGGAGAGAGATCAGCCATCCCACGTGTTGTTCTCCGGAGTACGTCATCAGCCTTCCTGCGTGTGGATGACTCGCACTGATCTTCTCTGGCTTTTACATTTCTCAACTGATCACAGTGCCTTGTTTTACTGTCTCTATGACCGATTAAACCAAAGACCAGTGTCCTTGAACCCATCTCGGTGTTTTTCTTATCGATCCAGTCTTTCAGGATTGACGTGCGGTCATAGTTCTAATACGTGCCTCCTCATCTTTACTGACACAAAAGATAAATGGTATCTGGCTCTTGTCTTGTTACCGCCCACTGAAGTCCATTTTTTTAATTGAAGCCGTTCTTCATGCGTTGAGTCAGCCCCCTCAATTACATTAACGGGATCCGTGCTGCAATTTTAGACGGTAACGTGTAATCTAATCAAGTTAAGGAGGAGGTCCCTTTTCCTCAAACGCCAGTCTCAGCCAGAGGTTGTCGGGGAAAGGCGATGTTGTCGTTGCCGCTTCGGCCACTGTGGGGCACCAGCACGACTCTGAAAAGTTGGAAGCAAGGAATGGGAGGCACTATAGGCATCTTCAATGTCACGTTATTGAGGCCGGCAAAGAAAACGTGGTTCATCTGCAGCCTTGAGAGTGAATAACTTTGCAAAGTGCATCATAGAAGTGTTGGCATGAAAGACAACAATGCTCTAAGTCAAATTGTAGCACACAAAATAAGGGGAAAAAAACATTACAATATCTACAGATGTGAGTGTGAATACTTGCTTCTCTGTACGTGCCATGTGAGCGTACCGGCATCAGGTTTAAAGTCATGTGGTGAATCTTTGTCGGATGTCTGAGGCGAGGTGTACGGAGTGTGCCGGGACTGCGACGTGACGAGACCTAGTAAAAGAGGAAAGCCACAAAGAACATTTGCAACAATAAGGCAATCTCAAGCATTGCTTTTTTTTGGGGGGGGGGGGGGGCGGTTTTTTTTTTTCTGACCGTGCCACAAAAGGGTACCAGGAAGTGTCAAAAGTTTGATATACACACACACACACACACACACATACATTTTTTTGTGATTCAAAATGTGCGACTAGGGAATCCATCCATCCATTTTCCGATCCGCTTATACTCACAAGGGTCGCGGGGGTTGCTGGAGCCAATTCCAGCTGTCTTCGGGCAGTAGGCGGGGGACACCCTGAACCGGTTGCCAGCCAATTGCAGGGCACACGGAGACGAACAACCATCCACACTCACACCGAGGGACAATTAAGAGTCTTCGATCAGCCTGCCATGCATGTTTTTGGAATGTGGGAGGAAACCGGAGTACCCGGAGAAAATCCACGTAGGCCCGGGGAGAACATGCAAACTCCTCACACGAAGGCCGGAGCTGGAATCAAACCCGGTACCTCTGCACTGTGAGGTCGACGCGCTAACAACTGGACCACTGGGCCGCCTGCGATTGGGGAATCATTTTTGAAAATCTTCCCTAATCAAAAAAATAATTGATATACGGGTGTTCCCAAAAGCACACCTCCATGGCTACCTGCGTTTGCGTCCTCGCCGGGTTCTGGCTAATGTCCTGCGGCCTGGTTGCGCCGGCGGTGAGTCACACCTACCACGTGGAGTTCAAAGAAGAAGGCTTCACCATCTGCGAGGAGTTCTGGCTGGGCCAGGAGAGGGAGCGACAGGCCTATGCGTACAGCACCCTGCTGGTCACCTACGTCCTCTGCCCCTGTCCGCCGTCTTTGTCTCCTACTTGTGCATCACGGTCAAGCTCATCCAGCTACTCTGCCACCTGTGCGCCATGAGTTCGTCCTGCTGCAACCCGTTTCTCTTCGCGTGGCTGCACGACCGATTCCGCGCCGAGCTGAGGAAGACGCTCAAGTGCCGCAGCCGCGTTGGCGTGCCAGTCAACCGCTGCACCGCCGGTGCGGCCTTGTAGACCCTTGATGAGCAGACCACATCCCTGACTGGTCATCAGTCAATCACAGGGCACATATTGAGACAGACAACCATTCCCACTCAATTTATAGTCCCTGGGAGGAAACTAAACTCAAGCTCCCTGTGCCAAATTCAGGAAAGTGTAGCGCTACGACACTTGAATCAGCCACCTACTGTACAAGACTGGAGCCTACCCAATTTGTTTCAGGTAAAGGTCAGATTACATCCTGGACTGGTTGCCAATCAATCACAGAGCACAAATGATCAAGCGATAGAAAACGCTTCTTAACATAAGCGGTTGATAGCCCATAAAAATCAACGTTGTTCATTGTCGTAGCAGCGGTTCGTGTTTTTATAACCGCATGGTGGAAGAAAAATGTGATTGATGTGATGTGATGTGAACTTGGAACCTTTGTTAATTAAATGTTGTGAAGATAAATTGGTTCACGCCTCTGTCGATTATGAAATTGTTAATATGCTTCTGTATCATGTAGAATTCCTATTTATGGATCCCATAGGATATCTGTACGATTCTGATTTCTCTGTAACTGTCCAAAGAGTGAACTGTCATGAACAAAATGAATCCTGCATTTCGATAGTGGGAGGTTATGTTTTTTCGATTGACATTAAAAATGTGTTTGTACACATTCCATCACAAATCCTGCTCATACTGTGTGTATCTTCTTTAATAAGGCTTCTAATAAAACATCAAAATTACAGACTTGGCCAATTAAGGAAATGGTTGAAAAAACAAAAAGAAAATCTCCTCTTGAGTCAATCAATCCAGTAGCGCCAGTCCTGATTATTGACATTTGGCCTCCTCGCTCTGTGATAACCAAGCCTTCTGCGTGACGGCAAATTCCCTGGCCTCTCTTGGGGTGCGGATGTAAGACTCGATCTCGCCGTCCGAGATATCTTCGTCGCCGGTCACATCTTTGAGGCCTTCGAGCGCCGCTCTCCGTCTCTTGGGGTGAATCACACACGGTGGCGCAAAAAGCATCCTCTTCCCCCAGTTGGGGACGGGATTCTGATTCGCGTTGGACTCGTTACCTTCCCGTGGCTGTTCAGCCATCTCTGAATTCTCACTGGTTGCGTGTGGAGTCTGATCATCGGCCTCAGAGGGATTGACCTCCTCTTCTTGACTATCCCGCATGGCCTCCTCGTGGCTCCTCATAGCGCTCCGTAGCAGAGCATATCTGTTCTTGACAATATCCCCCACGTGCTTAACCACATTGTCCGACGTGACCGGATCCGTCACCCAAGGGATCTCCTTCCCCAGTTTGCAAAGGACCCCCTTGATCTCGCTCACTCTCTTCACGGCGACCCGGTTCTTTTTCACCTTGGCGATGAGACAAAACTTCTCCAGGGACACTTTGAGGCGAATGTGGTTGGGGTTGAGGGACTGCCAGGCCAAGTAGACCGTCGCCATCATTAAGGGGACGGGCTGGCGGCCGGTTAGAATCCAGGAGTCGGCCGCCAGCTCCACGAGGGACAAGGCTCGTTTGTTTAAGTCCTTGCGGTCCTCGGCAAGGTCTTCATGCACATCGAGGGAGCTAATTTTGTACCTGACAAGAAGAGGAAAAAGAAATAATGATCAACAAACCCAAATATCAGATAAAGAGACCAAGTGGGGTTATATGAAGAATTGAAATGAAAGAAAAATAAGGAGTGTGATGAGTCCTAAATAAAATTACCTGCGTTGATATACAAGACACGCTCAACATAGTCGATGAATGAAATTGTCTGAACTTCTCTATGAATTGTAATTCTATAAACGTTCAACAATGTACAAACTTTACTACGAATTTTTCACAGGGCTATTTTTAAGCAGTAGTCTATTCATAGCAAACATCTGGAATTCAAATTGAATCTGATGAATTTTCTGTTGACACGGGGAAGGTTACACTTCACCAGCAGAGCATTAATCAGCTTTCACCGATGCACATGTGCGGTGGAGATATCAAACAAAATAGAACAATTTGGCAACCCAGTCCAGATTAGCAACAAGAACGGTATAAACTCAAAAACAGTTCTTGCTGAAGAAAACGATCTGATCTGCTTTTTTCAGGCAGTGTGTGGGAGCTTTGTGGACACGAATATAGTGTCTCTTGCGGTGAAGAACACACACTCGCTTAGTGTGAAAAACACATGCGAATGTTAGCTAGCTATTTGCAGTTGAGTTGACCGACCGTTTTAGTTATAGTTTAACTTGTTAGCTGAAACAGTGTTGGCACAAGACATATTTTATTTTATTTATCGTTTTACTCACCTGATTTCAACTTCTCTGCGATGCTGGGATTGAAGGGCTGCACGTCAAAGACGGTGATCTTTTGACCGCACTCTGGTACTTCAACTTCATGAGTCCGACGGTGTTTAACCAAGTTAGCCATACAACCTCCTTTGCAAAATATTATCTTATTGGGGGTGTCGCACTGAGCTGAAAGTTCAGCTACACTGTATGTTCGATCACAGATTCTGTGATCCGCGTAACCGCAGTGAATCGTTAAATATGGTGAGGGATCACTGTCCATACACTTTGGCGATAGTTTTGTTTGGTGGTGATACGTTTCAAATGTAAAGTTTGGGAAACACTGCCATAGACGGACGGGATGCATGCTTACTCTTGACAATGAGCCTCCATCACGTCGCTCACGTTGACGAGTGGTGCCTCGACCTTGAGAACCTTCATCATCTCTTGGTAGACGGCGCCCAGTATCGCAATATCTGCCTCCAGCAGGCAGGCGATGGTGCCCATGGTGACGGGCCAGTTGAGCTGCCTGCAGCTCACCAGCACGCAGCAGCCGGCCAAGTTCTCCTTCTTCTGTAGGCTCACCTTCAGGAAGCTCTCGTGCTCGTAAGCCTGCGCGAAATACGTGCTTGACAGTGTCTCGACTTCAGCGTTGACCCGTAGGACTCTGCACAGGGCCGTCAGTCGCTGCTGGCCTGCGTGGTTGTGATCAAAGCAGAATGTCAAGAAAAGTCGAGCCATTATTATCAAAGTGGAGTACACACATAACAGTTAAAATAGGCACACACGTATGTGCAGTCTCCACGTAAATAAAGCAGTTAAGATGTCAGTAATTGGTAAGCGTGTCCTCGTCTTAAACTCAATCATAATGCTGCAGGTGTGTGTACCTTTTATCTGGTTTAAACATGGCTTTTTAGAAACAGCAGTTGTGCGGCTGTAGCTGACATCTGCAAGAAAAAAGATGAATAATTATCACAAGAAAAAAAAACGTTCATGTGATTTATTCGTGTTCTACCTGTGCCTTCGAAAAAATCGTGGGTGAGAGCCCCCTCTGACACCACAGCGCCACAGTCCACGCAGACCATCTGACGGTGAGCGTGATGGTCGTCCTCCACAATGCTGGACGAGCCGCAGCAGGGACATTTTAAACCCGCCGTGGACATGTTGTGACAAAATATTCTCACAAGTCACACCAGCAACAAAAACAGCGCCGGAATGCCGCAGCGGCTTCGATGGTCCTCCGCCAAAATAGTTCCGGGTAGATACAATATCCGGCCAGGACAAGCTTCCGCCCTCATACGACGCGAGAAAGGAAACATGAACTAAAGTCGGATTTTAAAATAATAATAATACATTTTACTACATTCTCGTCCTTATTCTTTATCTTAATACTCATGTTTGTTAATTTTATGTGGGCACTTCAAATGTACGCACATTTTTGTACTGTAATGTGAAACTATGACAAAAAAAAAACTTGTAGCATAAGGCCCAGCCTGAACAACATATTGAACACTAATCGTCATAACTTTGCATAAATAAAGCTGGAAAATTTTCATTTTCTTTTGATGAGTAGTCATACTCTTAAAGTATATTTTTTAATTTTTGAAGAGTAATTATGTAGTCTAAGAGTACTATACATTTCTTTAAAAAAATCGTAGATTTTTTTAAAATGTCTTAATTTTACAAGAATTGTCATAAATTGTCAAGAAAAAATTGTTTAGAGTCGGAGGGGGGGTATGTTTTCAAGAACATGGCTTAGAAACAAGTTTACATTTTTGTGTATTTTTGTGATAAGTCATGTTTTAGCATTCATTTAATTTTTACTTGAGTAAAAACACAGCATTAGTGGTATATTTCCAAGAAAAAAAAAATGTATTTTTGAGAAAAAGTCAAATATTTAAATGGCGCAAGGAGTTGTGAACTTGACAAGAATGATGTTGCATGCCTTCAATTAAATTATATTTGTCACAATATTACAAGAATCCTCAGTATTTAACCACATCAAAATCAGTTTATCATTCCCAGGACATGATACGGAGAAAGCACCAACACTGATTGTCGAAAATACTTTATTCTTGTAACAATACCAGGAAACGTAAACGATTCAATGTTTTTGTGCAGTGAATACAAACAACAGGGTGAATACAAACAACAGGAGGGAAAGATCCTTTTTTTTTTTTTTTAAACAGTTTGAAATTAGTCCAAATATTGTGCACACGCACGAGAGGTTTACATCGGGAAAAACAGGACTTGGTTTGGCATTTCGATTTCATTTCACATGTTAATACTTTACAACAGAACATTGCAATCGGTGTAGAAACTAACGTAAGCCAAGTAAAGTGCTTTTTTCGGATCATGTAAACATTTAATAATCAGTGCAAGAAGATACGTTGATGTAACAAATGCATAGTTGGAAGCATCAAAAAGGCAAACGTTTGCAAAAAGAGGACAGACAGGAGGCATTTTCGGCTTTTAAAATAGTAATCATGATGACAATATTTAATATTAAGACTGACGGTGAGTGCACTGATCAATTGAAGCAAAAAGAACAGGAATGCTGAATATTTAGAAAACGGGCGCCTCCACTCATTTCTTTGAAGTGCAGAGAAAGGCAAAAACAACAACGAAAAAAATCCATTGGCCAAATCCACCTAGATGACTTTTTTCAGAGACATGAGAATGCTTGGTTGTTCTTCCATGACGCGCACAAGTAAGTCGTCGATGTACTGCTCCAGCTCCGCTATCTTTTTGTCCTTGTCCCGAAGTTGCTTCTCCTGCTTCACCACGAGAGAGATGAGTTCTTCCCGGGTGAGCATCGAGTACGGCCCCTTCTCCTTGCTGACTTTTACCTACGATGGCATGCCAATGAAACAAAATGTCAAATGGATTTGAATCCATTCGGGGGGGGGAATTTAATTTCTGAAGTTACCATAAAAGGGAACGCATGAAAATATTCATTTCAGACGTTGCAATCCGCTCGTTCAGCCAATGGCGGCTTTGCGCGTGCGCCATTCATTTACAATCTGAACTCCGGGTGGCGTCTCAGAGTCTCCGATAACGTCGAAAACCGTACTCTGCGATTGACCGACGCAGAACCAAACACTCCCCAAAACCAAGTGCTTCGGACCAGAGTGTGACAAGTGGATATCATGCGTCAATCGTCCGTCATCTTTCACGCATTTTGACAGTGGAATGTCAGATCTTTTATTTCAATCGTGACAAAGGTGTTTCTGAGAGAATAAAATGTGACATACCTCAACTTGACCGACATTGGCCCCCGATTTCTCTTTTTCGACTTGGACCTCCGTGACAGGATGCTGCTCCTGAGCACTGAGCGGTTTCACAGGCTGAAGTCTGCCATGGAATAAATATTCATAACAATTAAGGCAAGGATTTATTCAAAATGGTAACATGCAAAAATAATTGATGATCAGCTGGGACATTGAAGGCTAAAAGGATTTCACGGTTCCTACACACACAAGCAAACATACGACAATCTGATCTGATAAGATTTGACAAGTGACGAGACTTAACGCGTCTCCTGGTGTGACGTCTCACTCTGACCTAAAAATATCTTCGTGGTGGTATGATAAGATTCAAAAATTTGGCCGGATTATTGGCATGCGTGCGTGTGTGTGTGTGTGTGTGTGTGTGTGTGTGTGTGTGTCATTTCACCTGCGCGAAGGTGCGGGAGGCGCTTCTTTCTTTTGGCCCCCATCCTGCCCGCGCTGCATCGGCTCCTTTGGTGGACTCTCCCGGTTCTGCAAAGCCTGACCAGCTTTGGGCGCTTGGGTTTTCGTGTCAACGGGTACGGCGCTCGGCGCGTCCAATGCAGCGGCGGTCTCGGCGGGGGGCGCGGGCGCACGGGCCGCTTTCGAAGATTTCACTTTGCTTTGAGAAGCGCCGTCTGAATCGGGAGTTTGCGACACGGGCAGAGGCCATGACGCTGAGCCGCCACGACCGGAGGAGGATGCTTCATTTTGTGCGACGTTTGCTTCATCATCATCATCATCATCATCATCAAACGGATTTAAGCTGCGCACAACTGGGACGGTCTTGGATTCAGCAGCGGGTATTGACGGCGCGGGACGTTTGGCGTGTTTGAAGGCGCCGCCTTTTGGCTCGTCGGTGGGAGATGTGCTCCGAGGGGGCGCGGTCTGCACCGAGCGCCGCGGGGGAACGCTGGCGGTTTTCACCTCCTTTTCTCGGACCTTGTCGGGAAGCGTCGCCGGATGCGGCGAAGGGTCATCGCGTCTGTCCGTCGGGGGCCGAGGAGCCGGCCGCTTCTCGCGTTGACTAACGGCGGTCGACGGCTCGGCCGGTTGGCACCTGCAAAAGAGAGCGACGGCGCGCGGCCAGAAGTTGAAAGTGAATCGGTAAGCCAAAGGCGCAAAATGAGACGTGTTTTTCAACCGCCGCGTTTTGAGGGTGATTCCGTTCCTCTGCTTCGTCTTCCCTCGCGCTCGGTTCCTTCCTCCTCTCGTCGTCGTCGTCCCATCTCCTCTCTCGCTCCTCCTCTGTTTTCGCGCTGGGTTCTCGCTCCTGCTGTTGCTTTTCTTCCTCCTCCTCCGACTTGTTCCGCTCGTCTTCCCTCCTCGCATCCTCGACCCTTCGCTGTTCCTCCTCCTCCTCGGCAAGTTTTCCGATTTCCTCTTCCTGCTTTTCTCTCCTCTGTTGCTCCTCAAGCGTTTCCGCCTCCCTTTCGGCTTGGCAAGCGTTCTCCTGCGCCTCTCTGGCCTCTTCCTCCCGTCTCTTCTCTTTTGCCAAGTGCTCCTCTTGTCTCCGCCTTCCCTCCCGCTCCTCCTCCGTCGTTCGCTCCTCTTCCGCCAGCCGCCGCCGCCGCTCCTCCTCTTCCTCCGCTAACCGTTGCTTCTCTTCCTCCCGTCTTCTCAATCGCTCCTCTTCCTCTTTTCTCGCCGTCTCTTCATTCCTTCTCTCCTCTTCGAGTCTCCGCTGCTCCTCGGCCAACTGTTCGCGCTCGTCTTCTTCCCTTCTTGCCTTCTCTTCCTCCTGGCGCCTGCGCTCTTCCTCCCGCCTCAACTTTTCTTCTTCTAACCTTTCCGACTCTTCCTCTCGCTTCCTCTCCTCCTCGGCTCGTCGCTTCTCCTCCGCCAGCCGCTCCCGCTCTTCTCTCCGAATCCTCTCTTCTTCCTCTCTCCTCCACTTTTCCGTCGCTATTCTCTCCAGCATCTCTTCTTTCCTCTTCAACTCTTCCTCCCGTCTCTTTTCCTCTGCTAATCGTTCTCGCTCCTCCTCTTGTCTCCTGATCCTCTCCTCTTCCTCCTTTCTTGCCTTCTCTTCATCCCTTCTCCTCTCTTCTGCCTCCCGTCTCATCTTTTCCTCTTCTAATCTCGCCAGTTCTTGCCTTCTCATCCTCTCCTCCTGTCTTCTCTTCTCCTCTTCTAATCTTTCCAGTTCTTCGCTTCTCCTCCTCTCCTCTTCCTCTCTTTTCCTCTCCTCTTCCTCCTGTCTCCTCTTTTCCTCTTCTAATCTTTCCAGTTCTTCGCTTCTCCTCCTTTCCTCTTCCTCTCTTTTCCTCTGCTCTTCTTCCTGTCTCCTCTTTTCCATTGTTACTCTTTCCAGTTCTTCTCTTCTCAACCTCTCCTCTTCCTCTCTTTTCCTCTCCTCTTCCTCTTGTCTTCTCTTTTCCTCTTCTAGTCTGTCCAGTTCCTCTCTTCTCAACCTCTCCTCTTCCTCCCGTCTCCTCTTTTCCATTGTTACTCTTTCCAGTTCTTCTCTTCTCAGCCTCTCCTCTTCCTCTCTTTTCCTCTCCTCTTCCTCTTGTCTTCTCTTTTCCTCTTCTAATCTGTCCAGTTCTTCCCTTCTCCTCCTCTCCTCTTCCTCTCTTTTCCTCTCCTCTTCCTCCCGTCTTCTCTTTTCCTCTTCTAATCTCTCTTCTTCCTCTCTTCTCCTCTTTTCCATTGTTACTCTTTCCAGTTCTTCTCTTCTCGTCTTCTCCTCCTCCTCCTGTCTCCTCTTCTCCAGATCTTGTCTTCTAAATCCTCCCTTTATAAGCGGACCCGTCCGACTCTTCTCTCGCTTCCATCTCCTCCTTGGTGTCCACATCCTCGTTGCTCTTTTCTTCCTGTTCCTCCTCCTCCTCCTCTTCCTCCTCCCAGGGCGTGTGCTGCCTTATCGCCGGGAGCGAGTCGAGCGACGGCGGGGAGCTTTCCGGAACGTCCTCCATGGAGCCGCGTCCCGAGCTGGCCAGACTGAAGTTGGAACCGATGCGAGCGGTGCGCGGCGAAGGTTCCTCGCAGTAAACGTGACTCCCATTGATGCACAGGTTGCTCTTTTCCACAGCTGCACGTTTCTGAGACGACGACGACGACGACTCTTTGCTGTCCGAGCTGCCGGAGCGCTTGTGTTTCATGAACTTGAATTTCTTCTTACCTATAAAAGATGGTACCAAAGGGGAACATTTGACAAGGACCCCAACTCGTGTTTGATAGACCCGTGATGAATTCATGCCAGTCGTACAGTAGAAGAAGTCCTGCGACTCTTGGCTTTGCGTCCAATTAAACTCATTCCGTACCAGACAATTCTGGACCAAGTCTGAAAAGACGTTTAAAAACGTCTTTGGGAGTGAATGAGTTAAACGGGCCCAGTAACTCAACTCTTTGAGTTGAAATTGAGACAAGATCACAATTATTTCAGTCTTCATACTTTCTGGAACATTTTTCGAATGTAAAATGTGTGCCTCGGCTCAGTAAAAGTTGGGCAAGTAGACCTCCACAAAGGCAAAATTCAGTTCATTTATAGGGTGTCCCATCCATCCATCCCTGCAGGAAAATCTGAAATGGGACCGTCTTGTCATTTTCTGTGTAACCCTCCTTCCTGTCTCATTTTTTTTTAAGTCACAATGGAAAGCTTACCTCTTCCTCAGAATCAAATAAGGTAGCGTCCTCAACCAAACAGGAAGTAGCATGCCAACATATGGACTGAGCAGACACTCTACGCTGACTTTTTCCACTCGAGATCAATCCTCAATACAAATGGTCACCT